CAAGCTACACCAACTGCACGGTGTGATACATATTGTGAGTCGACCGACTATACATCGTATCCGATCGAACGTAGTGACTCTATATTCATACTAAATCATGCAACATCGATCAAACTACGTAGATCAGCTGACCGGACATAGAATCAGACATAGGATAGCACAATAGTTCACCAAAAGATCACGAACGACTGTTCATAGGTCCACCAAAGTTCACATAAACGACAGACAACTTATACTACATCTAAAACTTGAAATGAAATTGAACTTCACCACTTCCGGACCGGCCCTTTCCCATTCTGGTCGTCGGCGTAGCCGTGGCCGTCAGCGGCTGGTGGAGGATCATCTGATTCGTCAGACGAGGAGCCGTCGTTGTTGGATGAGGAGGAGGAGACGATGACGAGGCCATTGAGGCGCTGGACGGCCCGGTCCCGTTGGCGCCTGAGCACGCCTCCGTCGCCTTCTCCTTCGCCTCCCACTCGGACTGCTCGATGGCAACCGGAGAGCCTTCACGTTCTTTCGGCAGAGCCGCCGACCGTCTGTCTCCGCCGTCGTAAGCTACCAGCGGTATACCCACGCGACGAGCTGCGCGTTCTCGTCGGGCTCCGCCGATAGATCTCAGCGGCGGCGGACAGAGATCTCCGCAGCGTCCCTCTCCCTTGCCCGCTACCTCTCGCGGCGGGCAGAGCATGTCTTCAACTCCAGCGTGCGCGTCCAGGCCGATAGGGAGGGCACAAGCACCCACCTCTGCCCATGAGAGGGAGCAGCAGCCGGTGTGGCCAGGGGACGACGTAGGGGAGGCGCGGATTGCGCAGGCTGCCTGTCGGAGCTGCCCCCGGACAGGGAGGGGCTAGCGCCAGCGTCCGAGCTGCCCGGCGGGGAAGCTGCGGCTACGGCGAGGCTGCAGATCCGGAGCTGCCCCCGATCTCCACCTTGGGACGCTCCAAGGCGATGCGGAGGGCAAGCTCATACTCCGGATCCAGCTCGTCGTCCGAGCGGCAGACGGAGCTCGACATTGCACTAGATTCGATCGGAATCGGTGCTGGGACAGGAGAGGACGGAGCGAGAGAGGAGAGTGAGTGAGTTAGGGTTTCAGAGCGATGAGCCCGATGGTTTTTTTTGTGGGACATCCGTGGGGTCAGTGGTGGACTGGGCTTGTCAGGCGGATGCGCTCGGGCCACCTGATATCCGCCCTACATTTGGGACGGATATGAGGGGTGCCGGTCAGCCCAGGCATTTGAGGCCCGTTTGAGAACTCCGGTTGTGTCGGTATTTTGTGACCGATCAGTGACCGAACGGCCTGCCCGAGCGTATGAGACACATATAGGGCACCCGGCTGTAGATGCTCTCGGATCGACTTTGGAGAAAGGGTCGGGCCACAGAGTTCATAGTTCGTACTGCCCAGGCCCACTTACTCGCCTTCATTTCTATCGAAAGAAATTTGATCTCGGGCTCGGTAACATTGTGAATCTTTTTCTGAAAAGCCTCTACAACATTGTGATGTTCATATCCATTTTAATTAATAAGTACTAAATATTCAAGCAAAGCTAAAACAACAATTAATGATTAAAACCACACCCAATCGGTAAGAAGATTACATGGTATCGAAAACAGAGTGCATATAAGGTCCAATTAAGCATGCCACAACGATTTTC